ATTATTTTAAAGGTCTCAAATTTGAACACGATATTTGGGATATTTGAATGTTTATTATAAAATAATTGAAAATCTTTAAATTAAAAAAATATCTTAAATCCCTTAAAATAGTAAAAAAGGTAAATTATACCTTTAATACCTAAACTATCTATTTTGGTTTATCTCAATACCAAAACTTTTAAATTTCTTAAAACCATACCTAAAGTTTAGTTTTTGTTTCATTTTAGTACTCCGTTCAAAATTGAACATTAAGTTTTGAAAAATTAAAAGTATAGGTATTAAAACAGACAAAGAAAGATAGTTTATGTACTAAACGCATTAAATTTTTAACGATGAGTATTAAAATGAAAACTAAATATTATGTATGGTTTTGGAAAAATTAAAAGTTTATGTATTAAAATAGAATAAAACTGATAGTTTAGACACTAAATGCGTATTTTACTGAAATTAATTGAATGGCCCGAATTTATGAACTTTTGTATCAAAGGCAAGGCCCGATCCATTGGCATATGCATCTCCATGCCCAATTTTCTTGTTTCCCACACGTCATAAAACAGCAGCCACAAAAAGTCGGCAAATTGTATGCATTCTTATATCCCTACGCCATTTATTTGAGCCCCGTTCTTCGTCTTCCTCGACTTGGTCTGCAATTCCCAGTTCTCGTTCCTTCTTAAAGTCGGCAACTTTGCTTTCTTGGGCTTATCTTATCCAGCAGCTTCTTCAAGGTTTCAATATTTTTCCTTCTGTAAATTTGATTATATTCAATTCCATTTGATGGTCATCTTATTTTCGATTTAATCCTTGAATTAATTCGTTTTTATCACTTCAATTTTCCCTTTTGATGTTGTTTTTGTTGTTGGTAATTAGGAAAAAAGAATTGGGTCATTTTTTTATTTCGTTTCTTTTGGGGGCTTTTAGTTTAGCCTATTGGATTGTTAATTATGATTCATGTATGTGTGCTGAAAATGGAATTTTTTTTTTTGGAATTTCATTGTTTTTAATATTGAAATTTCGAAATAGTCTAAGAGATGCAAACTTCATATGTTCAGGTTTTTATTATCCGAATAGCCTTTGTTATTATTGTCTGCAAATGCTGACTGCTAGTGTTACTGCATCCTTGCCACCTTCATATCTAAAGGTATGATCTTGTTCTAGCTGGTTTTCTTGGATTTTTCTTGTCATTCATTGAATTTCTTATATTTTGATGGTAATATTCATCGTTGTTTTCACCAGGACATTGTTTAAAGCCGCAAATTAAATGCAATGGCTGCTGTGGTGCCGATAGAATTCCCACACGAATCCGGCCAAGGGGACTTGGCTTGCAATTACAACCTATTGTTGGAAGACGTAGAAACCAATCTTTATCCATTGTATGTGCTGCTGCTGCTTTGGTACGTTTGTCCCTGTAGCCACAAGAAAATTGATTTCCTTTAGCATAATCCAAAACTCTTTATATGTACCATCTGCTAGCATAAACAGCATTAAAGCATGAAATAAATTTAGCGAACTGATTGAAACTTGTGCACATATTTGTGTGTTGCTTTATACATTGCTCAAACTAGACTTTTGATGGTGCTGGGATTTCGATTTTCTGACTTGGTTTCTTTTTCCCGCAGAATGCAAGTAGTAGTGCCTCGGGGCAAACTCAAACTGTTATTCGGGAAGCACCAACAATCACCCAAGCTCCTGTTCACTGTAATAACAAACATATGCACTTTAAATAGCTTGCTACAATTGGTTAGATGTATTCATTTTTTGTGATTTTCCAGTTGGATTTTAGTCACTTGCCTTAAGTTGATTGTGGTTGGGAAGTTATGGTGGGCTAAGTGATTTTACTTGAATAATCGAAAGGGATGATGATAGGCTTGTATCGTCTCGTTCTAGTTTTAGAAACTTAGCCATGGTGTGTTGATGCTTGCATTCACTTTCATGCTCTGTCAACTTCAGTAGGGTGACTGTTATTTGGCGTACTATTTTCCGTTATCCAGATCTCACCGGGATCTAGCAATTTTATGTTACTCTTTTCCGTAGTTTTGGTGTACTATTTTCCTGGTGATAAACACCTGATCATTCTGCAGCTAAGGATGGATCCCTGGCTTTGAGGGACTCTCTTACCAATGATTGTAGATAACCAATTGGCTTGAATTTGCAGCTTTGAGCTTGTTCCTATTGCTTCGAGTACAGCACCTTATAATTTTACGCGAAAACGCAACTGGCTTAACATGTTTTATTGAAATGCAGCAAAGGAGAAGTCGCCGCAGCTGGATGATGGTGATTCTGGGTTTCCACCCCGTGATGATGGCGGTGGTGGCGGTGGAGGGGGAGGCGGGTGGGGCAACTGGTCTGGCGGATTTTTCCTTTTCGGATTTCTCGCATTTCTGGGCTTCTTAAAGGATAAAGAAAGCGAAGAAGATTACCGCGGCAGTCGAAGAAGATGAGGGAGGCTCCTAATCGAAAACAGTTTTGGAACCTATTGCATATTGCTCTTCGTACTCGATTATTTGTGGTCTAGACATGGCAGTGGATATGGCTTTTGTATTATTAGCAGTATGATCATGCTTTTCCCCCCTATATTTTATGAATTTGGTAGAACCAGAAGCTATGTTACTCGGATTCGGGTATCGATTGTCGGATTTTGTATGTCCTAAAAATTTCAGTTCGGTTAACGGTTAAGAGGAAAAAAATTCGGTTAACGGTTAAGAGGAAAAAATTAGGTTAACGATTTTTTGGTAGTTCGGTTCGACCGGTAACCGAACCGATGACTGAACACCCCTAGGAAAATGGCATAAGCAATGTGACAATTTGGACATATTAACCCAAAAAGTTCAACGAAATTCATGGAAAGAACTTGAAAGTTGGTTACAATTAGGTCAAAATGACCTCAACATTATATGCTGTTGTGACATATTTTTCTTTATTACTTTTAAAAGAAAAATCCTCCCTTGACCAATTCTAATTATTATTTTTATGTATGTGATAATGCCAACATTAATTTTAAAGATAAGGTATGTACTATTAATGCATCCAAAATAGAAAAAAAAAATTTAATGATATCTTGGACTTTTGAATTTTTGAGGAAAATCTTAATTTAATATTATTTTTTAAATTGAGTAAAAATATTTTGATTCTTTGATCATTATAATATTAATACGATGATTACGGTATTGACATGATAACTCATGATGTTAATGTGATAATTTATTGTGGAAGTATGATGACAAATATTAGTCATAAGTATATTCGTAAATATATAAAAATATGAATAATGTATGATCAAAACCTTGAAATATCCTTTTTATTTTTTTTTATCTTAGCTGAGTGAGAGAGATCCACGTGAACATCCTTTGCTTTGTGTTATTGAAACAAGCCCTTCCATCCTGTGGATATGCCTTTCATCTCTGTTCTTATCTTAATATTTTTATAATGATAAGTTATTCGATTCATTGATCGATTAATTTATATCGAATAATTAAAATGTTTGGTTGGTAAGTTTGATCCCACTAATTATTTTGTTTTGTAGCACCGAAATACAAAGACTTAGCTAGCACCCACCGTGTATTCAACCCTTTAAAGTACTATTTTCATTGCTCCTTCATAGAGTGCAAGTCAATCCTTTCATCCACCAATACCTCTTCATCATTTTCTTCCATCTACACAAATTCAATGAGGAAGATCAATCTCATACTCGGGAAATGCAAGAGCTTGTCGATGCAACTAGGGAGGTCGTCCTCGTATAGCAGCCTGAGATCGAGATCGGCTCGAGAAGATCGTCATCGCCGTTGCGTTGGGATCATATAAGAGGGGGAAGAAAAAGCCTCGAACATATACACAAACTTACCAACCAAACATGGATCAAACTTACCAACCAAACATTTTGATCATTCCACCGTTGTTGATGACCCTTGATAGAGAAGCATGGAGGGGAGGATCACATGTGGTGGCTAAATGCGAGGTAGTTCTGTTTGATCATTTTGTGGTTGCTTGAGAATTCTGATCCAAAACTCATACTGGATTCCTTGGAGGAATTGACCTCTATCTGTTTTGAATATATATATATAGGCGCGCGCGCGTTGATCTTGTTTTCTAAAGGGAAATACATGATCAAGTACTATTCATGTAAGGCTGTAATGATGATGATGGTGATGAGGTTTAATGTGATTATTCAACATTTGTTGATGACCCTTTTGTTAATTTTGATTTTCTTGGTATTGGACTAATTCAACAAGAAGTTGACATGAAAATGCAAGGGAAACAGGACACTTCCAGAAATCTATATGTCTGAAAGTAATTATCGAGTACTCGAGCATAATGTGCCTGGAATTCGAGCATTTAAACGGAAATGCTCGCGTACTGAAAGTTTCCGAGCCTCCTCATGATAAGAAATAGCCTCTGGCCAGGTTCAAAGTGGGAGACATGGGAGGATTCTCCCCTGGGTAGCATGAAAATCCTACCGTATGAACATACAGCTCCCTGGAATACATGTCAAAACTTTTTTAGGCATCCGGAAACGAAATATCAAACATGTTAGAAACGATGTGCGGTGCGCGTCGCGAACATGTCAAATTTTCGGACCACTGTTTTAGCTTGAGACCACAAGACTTAAAAGCCAACTGATTGAACCTATATATCTGAACATCTTAGTTGTAGAGACCGAGCACACTTCGGAGACATATAGACGTTTTTTTTCTCTCCGTTGCCGATTCCAAAGCCTCGAACATATACACAAACACGAATAGATAGAGAGAGACAATAAGCCATGCAAACTCAATTATGCTCTTAAAACACTCCAGATTAGAGTAGAGCCTTAACTCAAATTTCTTTCAAGTTTCAGCCTTTACTTCGGTAAATATTTGGTAATGATGTATTTGTAAAAAATATACTATAGTGATGTAAATAGAAAAATGATGATAGTTGTATAACTTATGGATGTATTTTACCCCTAATCTTTTTTGCTGTTTTATCGTTCACAGATTAATTGCGTTATGTGCAAAAAGATATAATCTCGACCAAGCCCCCTAGGGTTTATCTAGGTTGCTCATCTCTACCGTTCATCTCGTGTATTCGGCCAATGGCGAAGCCGACGAGGGCCCGTCGATCACCTTCTGTATCCGGCTCTGGTTCCTCTTCCCGTTCTCGTTCACGGTCCCGCTCTTATCCGGCTCAGATTCCAATCCAGTTCTCGCTCTGGTTCCCGCTCCAGATCTGCTTCCCCATCTCGCTCTCGCTCCAAATCTTTCTCATCTTCCTCTCGTAGCGGTAGTTCCCGAAGTCGCAGCCCCTCCTCAGCGTCGAAGGTTCATTTTCGCTCGTCAGATTAATTATTCTTTAGAAATTGCTTTCTGTGTAGATGTTTGAAAGTTAGCGAGCTTTATTCATCCCATAGCATAAGAATGATTGTCTACCTACGGTACACTTCATTTTTGCGCATAGCTAAAACCAATGGTTACCTAATAATAATAGCTTGCAAACTTGTCTCATGCGATTCTAGTTCCTCTTACTCTTTTATGTGGTAATTTAACTTTATGAGATGTTTTCTTGGAAGAGTTTGAAGTGTAAATTATGACTTCCTGTTTTCTGATTGAGTTGAAATCTTGTGTATCTGTATGATATAAAAGAGCTGATTAAAGCTATTAAAGCTATGAGCTCAGAGTGGCAGTGCAGTCATTTTAAAAAGCTTTGATTTTGGGATTTAATTCAACTGCCTTCTGAAGTTGAGAATGTCATTATCTTTTTTACATTGCAACATTGTGTCTCAAGTTTTGATACTGTTAACAGTCCACATTTCTCTGTTTCATGCAGTTGTTAACCTTATCAAGTTTAATTTGTGTATCTGATTTTCTTTTCTTTCCTTGACACAGTCAGGCTGATGCATCTAAGCGAGGTCGTTCCCCCTCCACAATCTAAGAAGGCATCTCCTGCTCCAAGGTAAAGCCATGTTAAGTTCAGATCTACCAGTATTATCAGTTTAAATTTCTGCAGAGGCCTTACGTTTGTTTTATATGTATTGAATATGAACTATGTTAGGTTTCAGATTTACCAGTATTGCCAGTTTAAATCTTTGTGGAGACTGGAGACCATAAGTTGTTTCTATATGTATTGCATGTGTTCAATATTATTATTTCAGGAAGACTTCTCCTATCCGTGAGTCTCTGGTCTTTATGTTGACTCATGAGCAGGAATGTTAATGAAGGCATCTAAGAGAAATATGTATGTGCTTTACTTTTTAACCAAATGTTTGACTGAGAATTGTTACAACTTTTGTTTGGATGAGTATTTGCTTCTTTATTTTTTAAACATTAGATACTTCACCAGTTAAATGCTCATCATAATTTTCTTCATCTTCTCACTCTGCAGTAATTTGGTGAAGTTGTAAATGTGGAGCTTGCAATGGACCGTGCTGTAAGTTCATACCAGTCATATCTTGGTGTTGTACATTATTATTATTATTATTATTATTAAGACATTTTTGCTAACGCTTAATCTTCCAAGAGGGTATGGCTATGTGAATCAAGACAAGAGCAGATGCTGAAAAGCGCTACTTTACATGGATGGTGTAGGTTTTTGATAAGATGCGAAGTAAAACTATTAGGAGCAACTGGAGTTAGTATGTTGTGAAATGATGTTAGTTGTTGCTTTAATGCAGGCCCAGATTGATGGCAATGTAGTAAGAGCAAAGTTTACACTTCCTCCCCCGACCAAAAGTTTCTCCACCGCCAAAGCCAATTGCTCCTGCTACTGCTACCAAAAGAGATGGCCCCAAATCGGATAATGTCAACGCTGATACTGAGAGGGATGTGCCAAAACGACCACGGGACGTAAGTTTAATTTGTTAAAATTTGTGTTTTATTTGTTTATGAGGTTATTTTCATGTTATTCAACTTGTTAACTGATGTATATTAGCTTCTCCTCAACGAAACCCCCACCGTCACCACGAAGGAGATCTCCTGTGGGTCGAAGAGGTGTATCTCCTAGAAGACCACCAGAGTCTCCACGTCGGCGTCTAGATTCTCCAGTTCGTCGTCGTGGTGAAACACCTCCTAGGCAGGCCAGCCTCTCCTGCCAGGTCGTTCTCCATTGTCTCCTCCAAGGCGACCTCGATCCCCAGCAAGGTGGTGGTAGTTTTTAATAGATAATAGGTTTTTTTAATGAATTGGTTTTTTGAAAGAATTTGACCCATTGAAATATTCACAGGACCTCTCCGCGGCGGATGCGTGGTAGTCCAATCCGAAGACGTTCTCCACCTCCAAGGCGCCGGTACTGATACATTTAGCTATTTTCATAATGGTTGAATATTGTTGACCCTAAGGTATAAGTGAATCAGTGCTGCATGTGAATAAATGAATAAATCCATTTGATGATCAACTCAGAGCAATAAAACTACAAGATCTTGACTGAATCAGAGCAATCAAGAATGCTATAATGTGTTTAAAGACATACTCAGAATCCTTGTTAGGTAGTCATAGTGTGTTATGTTCATGTTGTTGGCCTTAGTAACTGACACTTTGGTGTTGATCTTTTGTTGGTATGAAGTGTGGATTAGCTCAGCAAATTAGTTCAACTATAATTTCATGTACTATTGTTATGCTCTATCATGTTTTATTACAGTTCACCTCCTAGACGAGCCCGTAGTCCTCCAAGAAGGTCTCCCATCAATCGTAGACGTAGCCCTTCTCCAATTCGTAGACGGAGCCGTTCTCCAATTCGTAGACCTCTGCGTTCTCGTTCAAGATCAACTTCACCTCCAAGGTAGTTCATTTGCTTTAAACAATCCGTCTCATTTTTAGGACGAATATTTTTCCTGCAGTATGCCAAATATTTTCAAGACAAGTTATGAATAGAATGGATTAAACTTATTATACGGACTGAAATTAAATTTTAACGACTTCATCGAATGGGTGAATTTGAGCTTGTACCGGTGCCTTTCATGCCTATCCATCCCTATTAATTGTACACTGTTGTTTGTAACCTTGTGTTTCCACACTCGGATCTTAATTCGATATCTCATCTTTAAAACAGAGGCAGAGGACCTGCAGCTAGACGGGGAGATCATCTCCCTATTCCCGATCACCTAGTCCCCGAAGGTCTGCTTTTATCAATTTTGGTTTTGAGGAACTTATTTACTGGTTATTGAAAATCTGAAATTTTCGTTTTCATTATGACAGGTCGGACGAAGGGTTTCAAGGAGTCGTAGTCCTAGGAGGTAATTTTATTTATTTGCTAGAAACTTTTTACCAAACAATGGACACACTTCAAATTGAAACTTCTCATCGAACAATTAGACTTATTCTTGAAAATTATCTGCTTATTACCGAGAGGGACTCAACGTTAAGGCATGCCATTTTCACGCGCAGGCCACTGAGAGGAAGAAGCAGCAGCAGCAACAGCAGTAGCAGCAGTTCGCCTTCTCGTAAGCCGTAGACTACCTTATACCGATTTCATTCCCCTTTGCCCATTCCCTTAATGTATTTGTTGTGTGAATGATGTTATAGGGAGTCATATCGTATCGACGTGCTTCCGTAATATACTTGCGACTTCATTTGTCATAATACTTAACTGCAACTTAACTATGTCTTTGTCTGAACATTTCATTAGTGTCCCTTAACTTCTTATCTTTATCTCCTACCAAGTGGTTTAGTTAAATATTTTTCTGATATAAAGATCAAAAAGGAAATTGATTATAAATATCGGAATTTAAATCTTAATTGATTACCCTTTTAATTATTTTGTCATGGCAGGTATATTAATAATAGTTTTACTAATATGATTATTTGTTTGCACGAGTAGATGACTTTGACCCTTGAGGGCTTGAACCATTTTATTAATTTAAGATCATACATCTTCATTTTCGATGTTGTAATCGATTATCAGTTTACGTTATTGTTCACGTGATATATTCATATATTATGTTACTTTTATTAATGTAATGATTTTATAGTTTGGTTTAGTATTTGCAATTTGATTTACTATTTTTTTTAATAATATGGGTAAAAAGGTGTGTATGTTTAAAATAATTTTTAATTTGTCGACATTGAATGCCCACACCTCTAACATTTATGCTGCTCGAATTCGGGTCCTCAAGAAATAACAATAATTATTTTACTACGGATTAAAACCGATTGATTTACTCGATGAACCAACTTGTGAACTAGGCCTCTTTCCACCTTTAAAATGATTTTAAGACCTTAAAACACTCTTTTTGACTTGTGAATCACTTAACTATTAATATCATTGTGCGAATTACCTTTTTTTTATTTAAGTTTGTATCGATAAATTGAAAGCAAAGCTGTATTTTAATTACGTATACTTTCTTGTATATGAAAACAAAACTTGATGTTAGTAAGGAACATACAAAGTAATTTTTTTGAAAAAAATACGCTTACCGATAAAATCTTCGGGTAAAAAAATCGCTTACCGTATAAAATCTTCGGTAAATTATGCGTTTAGTATCAAGTATAAAAATCTTTGGGAGGGAGGGAGGGTCAACCTGATCCGATTTGAAAAATAGACTTTCACCAATCGAAACCGGTCCGACTCGAGTTTAGAGTCATTTACTTAACTCGAGTTTTTTAATAAAACTCAAACTCGATCCAACCTGACATGAAATAGATATATTTATTAAAAAAATTATTTATTTAATAAATAAGGATTTAATTGAAAAATTAATATACAAGGGTAATCTTGTAATTATCTCTAAATATATAAGATAAATTATACTATTTTTCAAATCAGTCGAATCAAGTATTTTTCACCATGAACCGGACCTGACCCGAACTTCTATTATAAAAATCCACTCAAACCCGAACCTTATTTTTTTAAAAAAATGATCTAATCAAATTGAATCAAAACCGTTCAGGTTCGAGTCCCGTGTTCATCCTTAATTTTACCCCCCCCCCCCCCAAAAAAGTGAGAAAAACGGGGTCGGTCAAATCCAGCCCATATACATACCAAAGACAAATAATTTTTGGAAAAGATAATAACTCATACTGAATAAGACAATATTTTGGGAAAAGATAACTACATATACTGAAATGTTCGTAAAAAGAATTTGGATAAACTATACATTTAATACCTAAACTATGAGTTTTGATCCTTTTAACATCTAAACTTTTAATTTTTTTAAAAACCATATATAATGTTTTAGTTATTATTTCATTTTAGTACCCTATTAAAAACTTAACGTTAATTAAAAAAATGAAATTTTAGGTATTAAAACTGATCAAACTAATAGTTTAGGTACTGAATGCGTTAAATTTTTAACATTAGGGTACTAAAATGAAATAAAACTAATACAAGGTATGATTTTGAAGAAAATGAAAGTTTAGATACTAATACGGACCAAAACTAGCGATTGGGTACTAACTCATAATTTAACCAAGAAATTTGTTCCTAATATGGAATCAGAATAATGTTTAGGGCTATTTTGTCTATTAATACTTTTATGAATAAACAAAAAGGAAAAGAAAAATGGTGTGTTGTGTTTTTCAGTTTGGCGAGGAAATTCTATCGCCTTTACCCTCGATTGTTGTTCCCAGTCGCAGCTTTTTAGCATTTCAGCTCTCAATTCGCTGCAGAACAAGGAGGAAAGCGCTTCACTCAACCAAAGCAAGTTCTTTTTTTATTCATAAATAGATTTGATTTTTCTGGGTTTTATACAGTTTCTGTGTATTTGTTTCTGTTAGTTTCTGATTCGATGAGTTGGGTTTTTTTGTATATATATATAAAAATTCAAAATTAAAGCTAGTTCATTTTGTGTGAGTTATTTCTTATTAAATGGAATGATTGATGGTTTATGATAGAATGAATTAGGATTTCTTCTGGATTTGGTTAGATGATGCCTTAATGCCTTTGAGTGATGCCACTTCTATTATTATTGTTTGTTGAATCTTAGGTAGCTTATAGCTGGTAGGTACATTGGAAAATTTAATGGCAGCTGAAGATGGCCTGCCATCTCTGGGTCGTGTAAAGCTCACTGATCTCGTACCCTCGAGGGCCTTCCTTCGGACACTTACAAGCTCTCGGTCTCGACTTTGGCAATCATTTGCTCAATATTCTGCTGCCATCATTCAGTTTCCAGCTAGCGATGGAGCTCTTTGAGATCCGGTTTGGATTCTGCTCGCCTTTACTTCCATCAAAGGGAAGCTTACCCCTGCAGACATGATTCACACGAACGATTCTCATGAGTGGTGCAAAACGTCTGGTTACTATGCGATCCCCAGCTTGGCAAGAAACTTATGCTTACAGGCCAGGCCTAACTCTGTTAGATCCCGGGAATGGAATGGAGTTTCCTCCGGGTGGTTTGCCTGACATATTTGGCTTGCTTGGTAGGCAGCACGAGGTATACTTGATGCGATCAGCTATTACTTGAATTTGCGCAGCTCGCCGTTTACTGAAATACTCGATAATGTACCGTTAAGAACCAGGGAGGTATCTTCTTCGGTATTATCGGTGTGCTGTCACGCAAGGCCTTCTTTTCATGGGGCACAACATCACAATTTAACAACACATGGTGATGGGCAATTAATCATGTTCCCCGACCACGAGCACCAGGTTGATAAAAGCTTGATATCTGTCATTAAGTCGGATAAAGCGGGGTTGCTTGTAAGAGATTTCATGGTCAGTTTTTATTGTCGATGGGGACCTTGGTCCTCAAGAAGCTGTTGTTTATCCTGGTCTGGCACTTTATCAAGCAACTGCGGGTTATGTCAATCCTGCTTTGCATAGGACGGAGATGAATAATATTCCGGATAACATGTCTGGACGATGCTCTTTGGCTTTCAAACTCATGCCCAAATCCATGACGAGCCTCATTGTTCGGAGATGAGAGCACTGGTCACGGGGTTGAAGCTCAGTTCCAGATTCCGGTACTGGTGGATGACTTCATGCAGAGATCTCACCCAACAGATCAACTCTTTAATCGGAACACTTTTCCGAGCGTTAATTTCCCCACAGCCCAAGATGGTAAGCAGTATTTCACAATGCGTATGCTGCATTTTCTATACTACGTGTCATAGCTGAAAAGTCCACAAGGGGGAGATAAGGCTTTCAATAGTTTGATCCAAACCATAACATTTTCCGTTTGGTTTGCCGAGACTTCTTAATGTTCGATATCTTTTTTGTTATTTTTTCTGTCCATGTAGCCTTAGTGAGAAGTTATTAACAGAAGGTCCTTGGATCAATGAAATGTTGGTACAGGGTCCATGAAGCCCTTGATGAGAAGAAGGAAGAATAACACGAGCTGCAAACCTCTGCCTCCTTCCAAGATTACGGCTCGAGGCTCAACGAGTGCTCAAGGAAAGGGTTCAGGAAATCGCCGATAAGAAGGGCATCAAACTACGGTTTTGTAACCTAAAGAGTGCGCGAATCACATTCATGCGCTAGATAGTCCTTGTGCCAATATTAGAATGGAGATCGGATGGCCACATGGAGTGCCATTTGTTCATCCCCACGATCTACCTAATAAGGCTAAGATCGGTTTTTCTTGAGCATATGAACCTGGTTGGACCGCACTCAGATATGGAATTAAGCCTGACGGAACCTGGGGTACAGGCCAGTCAACAGTCGGGAAACTGTAACTGTACATCTCTTGTTTATGTTTCATTGCCATGCAAGCATTCATCGAATGCAGTTTAGTTTTCAAGTTCTTAGCATTAACTAGTGTTGTCAAGGCTTGCGCCTAGCGATGCAAATTATTCAACAAAAGTGCCTCAGACCCTTTCAGGCCAGGATCATTTGATCAGCGCACAGTGCCCCTAGGCATGCTCTTTAATTTATTTATTTTTTCACTCAGGCTAGCGCTTTTTGCACCTTGTGCCCGAGGCAACATAGGGCTTAAGCGCCTAGACTGCACCTTGCGCCCTTAACAACATTGGCATTAACCATGCACCCAACTCACACCATGAGAATTTTGCTGGATTTATCTTTGAGCATTTTGAACTCGCGGATTAATGTAAATTGGTTTTGTGTAGCCATTAGTATATACTAAAGTGCATCGGATGTATTTTACCGTCGACGTCTTCTGAATGCCGTGAATGGAATGAGTTTTATATAATATTTTTGTCTGCAGAACCACCATGCAGTTTCCTTCCTGCAATCATCCTTGAGGAGCTTTGTTCACGACAGTTTGGTTTTGGAAGATCTCAGCTGGGGGGTTATGCATGACATGAGCTTTTCTGCTGAAATGTTTGTGTCTGGATCCGAGTTCTACTGGAATGGACAATTTTCGCCGAATGCAACACCTCCATACATTTCTGCGGAAATCATCTGATTTCCTTCCGACGCATTCAGCAGGGCTGCCCTGCCGAGGCCCCAGACCTTCATAAACTGAAGTGGTCGTCACAGTTACTGAACATGTCTGTAAAATGCATTGTCTGCAAATAGTTAGATTTTAGGAAATTTTCACTCTTTGGCCTCAAGGTTCTTTCTTGCTCATTTCTTTCTGGTTTCTTAAGATATTGGAACAATGGATCGTTAACTTAAATGTGTGCGACAAATTCTATCATAAGTCCTTATGCTATGTATATTGATTAGTTTTAGTCCATGTATTCTGAGTTTTGAAATTTTTGTTCTGACGTAAATGGTATATGTACAATATAACTAAATTATAGAGAAAATGATAATAAATAAATGACAGATAAATAATTTGACCTACTGGCTATTAATTTATTTGGATAAGGATACAATTTTTAAATTTTGGAAATTACAAATATAAAAAATCCAAATTAAAAGATGTGTACGAGTATTAACGCATAGTATAAGGATTAAGAGAAGATTTAACCATATGTATAGGAAAATTTTTAAATATCCAATCAAATCAAAATTTTATATATAAGATAATAAAATAATTGAAAATTAATCTTACTTTGGTCAAACTTATTTTTCCAGTGGAAAATATTCATGGAAATGACGAAATTGAAGTGGCATTCTACCAACCACAATATTTTTGCATTTTAATTAAGGATCGTCTTAAAGTTTAGTGTTATAATTAACGGTATGATTGAAACGGAAATCAAAATTTAGTGTTATAATTAGTAAAATTGAAAGTTTAGTGATATAATAATACAACGCCTAAAGTTCAGTGGTATCTGGTGTAGTTTACTCATAAAAATATATAATGAGGAGGGTTTCAAATCACGGTCGCTGTCGTGTTTTTGGTTATTTCGGATTACCGTGATTGCGGCGTCGCGGGCGCTATTGTGGCCGTCGCGGGTAACTCGAACAGCGACGAAATAGCTATATTGCGGCCGAAATCGCGGTCGCGGATTGTTTTTTAAAACCCTGATGAGGAGTGTGTTATGTAATTTGAAAAGTCATGCCGTCTTGCTCGCTGACTCGTCAAGTCGTCTATCCCCATTAATGCCGCAGAAGTTTTTTGTTAGAAAGAAACTTCATTGTTTTCCACAGCCAAGCTTTTAGCATGCCACAACGATTAGAACCATCGTCGGGTCACCTAATGGCCGCCTTTGCTTTACTTGTACTTGTATTCCCAGTTGCTTGCCTCGCAGGCATCGAAATCAGCACTGCAGCTCTGTTTTCTGTGGCAACTTGAACATCATTCATCCATTCCGATTACGGAACCAACCTCGCCACTGCGGTTACGTAGCCTCGAACTCGAGTGTGACGACAACAACCGCACGACTTTAGTTTATAGAGAGAAAATTCACTGTCCAAGAAATCTTTTACGAAAATCAAACGATGCTAGTAGTCGATCCTGGTCTTGACATGGATGATTGCAACTCCCTGCCTCTTAGTCCACACCATTTTATCGTGGCTGTGAAGAACCGTATTATCTGTACAATCAGAGGCAGAGCATATGTTGTTGTGATTGCACGGAATCTATACAATCGTCTGTGTATATCGAAGCCTCTCGTTGTCCCATCAAATCCAATGCTTCTTCCCATTTATATTTTTTAGATCATAATACAAAGCCATCTGATTTCGATCGATCCTGCACCGTGGTAGCCGAGGTTCATAATACAAAGCCATCTGATTTCGATCGATCCTGCACCGTGGTAGCCGAGGTTCCGATCAAGGGTCATAATATATCAGCTCTGCCTACGCTGGACATATACAATAAGCTATCAGAGGGTTTTTTGCTTGGGTGTATGGCTTCGATTTCTCCTGGTGCCATGAATCCAGGTGATAATATTTTAAAATGTTTCTAACTTCGTCTCGGATGATAATAATATTAAGCAATCTTTACATAAATTTGTAAAACACATTAAAATATTTGTTAGTACAAGTAGTCTTTTGTTTGACTCATTGCTCCCAACTATGCTGCAGATTACAGAAGTAGGACTTTACATCCTCCGTTTTCTCGAGGCATCGTCATTTTTCTCGAGTGCCTTTTCTTCTACTTCTATGATCCCGATAACGATTCTGATTGTAGATTCAGTGTTGAAGTAACAGGTATATACTTATTGAGATTTAGTTCGATTGATATTATTGTCGATCTCACAAAGTACTAATGTTTTTCGATACGATTTTTTTCGAAAGCTGGATTCATCACACTGAGGACTTTGCCTGGAATACTTGCTGGTGCTTGTAATTTACAAATGGAGAGAAGACACTTATCCATGGATGACAAGATTGAAGAGTTTCCTTCAAAGACAAACAATCTAGTGCCTATTAGGTACTATTTCAAAGAAATCAGAAAAATGACATGGTTTTAAAGAAAAACTAGGTGAAGGGGCTACGGCTCTGTGTTTAAAGGAAAGCTTCGCAGTGGACATCATGTGGCGGTGAAATTGCTGGGAAATAAAAAGGGTGACGGCCAAGATTTCATTAACGAAGTTGCTTCCATCGGGAGAATTCATCACGCTAATGTGGCGAAACTTATCGGATTCTGTGTGGAGGGATCGAAGCAGGCTCTGGTGTACGATTTCATGTCGAATGGATCTTTGGATAAATCATATTCACGGAAGAAACAAGAACACCTTGGGATGGAGAAGATGTTCGATATCGTGCTCGGGGTGGGCTCGGGGAATCGACTACTTGCATCGAGGATGCGACATGCAGATTCTACATTTTGACATCAAGCCACACAATATCTTCTGGACGAGAATTTCAATCCAAAAGTTTCGGATTTCGGTCTTGCTAAACTGTACTCGTAAACGACAGCATCGTCTCGCTCACCGCGGCACGAGGAACAATAGGATACATCGCTCCCGAATTGGTTTACAAGAACCTCGGAGGCATCGTACAAAGCCGACGTTTACAGCTTCGGGATGCTGCTGATGGAGATGGTGGGGAGGAGAAGAACGTGAAATGCATTTGCCGATCACACCAGTCAGATATACTTTCCGTCGTGGGTGTACGACCGATTGGATCGAGGAGAGGACATGGAGCTGGGAGATGTTTCCGATGATGAAAAAGTAATGGCGAGGAAGATGATCGTAACGTTTTTGGTGTATACAATTACAACCAGCCGATCGGCCTTCGATGAGTGGATGCTGAGGATGCTTGAAAGTGATGTCGAAGTCCTCGAAATGCCTCCGAAACCATTTCATCAGCTTCCTCTTGATTCAGCATCCAAGGTTCGTTGTTGTGAGAGCTCTCGTGATGAGCCGAGTACATCACTGGACGTTGGTTCTGTAACCGATTAGATCTCAGCCATATTCATAAGTATGATTTACGTAATTTACAAGTGTGTTCCACACATATGATAATGATTAATGTATTAATTGACAAGACAATAACAGATAGATCTCAAACTCTATAGAAATTATTAAGATGTTATAAATGTATAACTTATAGATTTATTCCAAGTTTATGTATAACACTACCGAAGAAAAATTTAACCATTTATAAAGCTTTTATTGGAAATGACAATTAAAGTGGCATTATGTCAATCACGCAAATATTTTGGTATTTAAAAAGAATTGACTTGTATTGACTTGGTTCTCATTATGATAATGAGGATATATGTAATTTGAAAAGTCGTCCCCCTTGGTCCCACTCACTCGTCAAAGTCGTCTATCCCCATTAATGCTTAGCTCTAAGGCTGAAGTTTTTGGTATATGTTTTGCTGAATTTAGATAGAAAGAAACTTCATTGTTGTTGTTGTTGTTGTTCCATAGCCAAGCTTTAAGCATGCCACAATTAGAACCATCGTCGGGTCACCTAATGGCCGCCTTTGCTTTACTTGTACTTGTATTCCCAGGTGCTTCTTGCCTCGCTTGGCATCGACATCAGCACTGCGGCTCTGTTTTCTGTGGAAACTTGAGTATCAGTTTATCCGTTCCGATTAAGAATCAACCTCGCCATTGTGGGTACCGTAGCCTCGAACTCGAGTGTGACGACGACAACCGCACCACTTTGGTTTCGGGTATAGGAAATTCTATGTCCAACAAATCTTCTATGAAAACCAGACGATAAGAGTTGTTGATGCAGGCTTGGACGTGGATGATTGCAACTCCCTGCCTCTCGGTTCTGCGTATCATTATTCTTCCTGTAAAGTTCCATTTTCGATATACAATGAACCAGCGGCTAGCCTTGTGTATGTTGTAAATTGCACGAAACCTATGGAATCATCTCTCTATATCGAAGCCTCTCGTTGTACCTCCAAATCCAATACCTCTTCCTATTTCTATTATCTAGATGAAATGACCCTGCCATCTGGTTTCGATCCATCTTGCACCGTGGCAGCGGAGGTTCCGATTATGGTTAAGAATACATCAGCCATGTCTACGCTGAATATCTACAAGAATCTATCAGAGGGTTCTTTGCTTTCCTGGGACACCTACCAGGTCTCCTGGTGCGATGAATCCAGGTGAAATACATTAAAAAGTTTATAACTTCGTCTCAGATTGATAATAATATTAAGCATCTTTACATAAATTTGTAAAATACATTAGAAATTTGTAAAATAGATGTACGAATACTGCAGATTTTACCGTCTGCTACATAGCCTGGCGGAGAATATCGGCTGCATTTCCAACAACAATGGTGAAGGTATGATTTGCAGATTTTACTTGTTTTTACTGATATTTTGCCTTTTTAATCGTCGGTAAAATTGATACTCCTTATCTTTTTGTTTTATATTTTTACAGTTACTTGTATTAACTATTTTGGAGTAACAGGTATTCCAATGGCCTCGATCTTACACACATGCACACACACACACATATATATATATATATATATTTGTTTTAAGGGAGCATTAAAGTATGTTATTTCATAAATTGTTCCTTTCACGTTGTTTTGTTGATCTCACAAAGTACTAACGGTTTCCAAAACGTTTTTTTCCTGGAAGTTGTTGTCATGGTACCAAGAACTTTGCTTGGGATGCTGTGTTTGCTGGTGCTTGTAATCTACAAGTGGAGGAAGACACTTATCCATGGATGATAGGATCGAAGAGTTCCTTCGATCGCAAAACAATCTGGTGCCTATTGGTATTCTTTTAAAGAAATCAGAAAAATGACGTGAGTTTTAAAGAAAAACTAGGTGAAGGGGCTACGGCTCTGTGTTTTAAAGGAAAGCTTCGCAGTGGACATGTGGCGGTGAAATTGCTAGGAAATAAAAGGGTGACGGCCAAGATTTCATTAACGAAGTTGCTTCCATCGGGAGAATTCATCACGCTAATGTGGCGAAACTTATCGGATTCTGTGTGGAGGGGTCGAAGCAGGCTCTGGTGTACGATTTCATGTCGAATTGATCTTTGGATAAAATCATATTCACGGAAGAAAACAAGAACGCCTTGTGGTGGAAAAAGATGTTCGATATCGTGCTCGGAGTGGCTCGGGGAATCGACTACTTGCATCGAGGATGCGACATGCAGATTCTACATTTTGACATCAAGCCACACAATATTCTTCTGGACGAGAATTTCAATCCAAAAGTTTCGGATTTCGGTCTTGCTAAAATGTACTCGGTAAACGACAGCATCGTCTCGCTCACCGCGGCACGAGGAACAATAGGATACATCGCTCCCGAATTGGTTTACAAGAACCTCGGAGGCATCTCGTACAAAGCCGACGTTTACAGCTTCGGGATGTTGCTGATGGAGATAGTGGGGAGGAGAAAGAACGTGAATGCATTTGCCGATCACACCAGTCAGATACTTTCCGTCGTGGGTACGACCGATTGGATCGAGGAGAGGACATGGAGCTGGGAGATGTTTCCGATGATGAAAAAGTAATGGCCCGGAAGATGATCATAACAGCCTTTTGGTGCATAGAATTACAACCGGCCGATCGGCCTTCGATGAGCCAAGTGCTGAGGATGCTTGAAAGTGATGCCGAAGCCCTCGAAATGCCTCCGAAACCATTTCATCAGCTTCCTCTCGATACAGCATCCAAGGTTCATTGTTGTGAGAGCTCTCGTGATGAGCCGAGTACATCACTGGACGTTGTTTCTATAACCGGTTCAAATGTCGTATAAGGTTAGAAACATTTCGTTTCATTGTCTCACAATTTGTAGCTTTATGTTTCATATGGTGTCACATATGTAGTTAGATATATGATTAATATTGTTCTGCGTCTTTATAATTAAGACGTTAATCTCTTAAATAATGTCTAAAATTTAAATTTTAATATTTTAAACGAAATAAATTAGATTGGAAAAATTATTCTCAAACTAAGCCTTTATAATAATTTTAGTCGGCTTTGCAGACTAATGAATTTGATACCAATGCTTTATACGAAGAATGAGAGGGTCTCAGTTACCATAGCGATCGATTTGATTCTTAATTTCAATGATCAAATTCAAATTTTTATAAATTCTAAATAAATTTATTCGCTAGTCAAATCTAGATAAAACCAGGAATCCGACGAGTTCCGACCCACCCGACCCAACTCATATATTTTAAGTATAATTACAATAATACCCCTTTATACCCTTTATATATTATTTTTTTTCAATTAAATCACTAATTTCATTGAATAAAAAAATAATTTTATTATTACTTAGTGGTCGGGTCGGATCGGGTTGGATGAAACCCGACTAATGATCATCCCTAGATAAAACACACGTTATACTCAGATCTTGACTCGTTTATTCAAAAGTACTTTATTTTTCTCTTAAATTATTTATTGTTCAAATCTTGAATAAATTTTCAAGCGTAAGTAGACCGGAGCAAAATATTTTATTCAAACTTTTTACATCAATATGATAAAAATTAATAAAAAATAATATTTTATTTTAACTCGTCACTTCGTCGTGACGAATCTAAATAAAAAAAATATTTTTAATTGAAACTCATTAACTTGACTTGACTATATTCTTGAACAATGTAACAAATTTCGTAGATCCCAAAATAAACTTATATTTGCTCTATCTTCTCAAATAATTTACTTGTTTATCCTATTGGGCCAAAAAACCATTAAATGTATAAAACCCAAACCCAATAATATTATCCAACCTAAATCTAAACCCAAAATACACACTATTCAAACCTAGGCAAAATAATAAACTAAACCCAAACACCATTAAAAGGGGCAGATGTATGTAATTTTGATGGGGTCATTGGTATACCTATTATTTAAAAAAAATTGTTTAATTTAATTTAATTTATTAAGGAGAATGAGAAAAAAATAAAGAAGTTTGTATACCTATTTTTCTTAAAAAATATAATATTAAAATTTTGAATCTCCATTCTTTAATTTTTAGATCCTTCACTGGATTTTATTTGACTATAAAAATTAAAGACGACGATAAAACAACGATATAATTATTGAAAATAAGAATTAAACCTAGTCCCAATCTATGAACAAACTTTCTCATACTTTTCATTTTTTTATTATTTTCAAAAATAATAAACATAAATGATTAATTAATTAATTAATTTTTTTATTTAACAATGTGTAAAAAAAATTAGCTGGCTCTATTCTCATATGTAATGGGGTAAGGGAGGATAGTAGGCTGTGCCCCAACGCAGGTTGAAAGCAGCTTCCGTGGGAGATCTCCGGCAGTCAGAATTATGAATTGCCCACCATGGGACTCGTTCCCACGACCACAAGGTTAAGAGCCTTACGCTCTTACCAACTGAACTGGACGGGCAATTCTTATTTAACAATGTGTGTGTGAATAAAAACATTCGCGGGTTCTCCTATTGACCTACGTAGCACAATAGTGTTTTTCGTTTTGATGCATGGTCCCTTTATGTTCATGAATTAGCTTAGTTTTGGTTACCTGCCGAACTATATAATAAATGCTCTCAGAACTTAATAAATATATCAAAATATCAGTCAAGGGAACCCCAACGTCTTACACTATTTACTTCCCTCCTCATATGGTAAGTCCTCATCAACAACAATATATATATATATATATATATCCAAAATGATGACATACTTCATAATTCATGGGGAAAAAAAAGCAGAGTCATCACGTTGTCATGAAAATGTCACACAATGTGAAGCTACATGATGATTAAAATCTGTCAAAATATGCAGTACTGCAATATTATATTGAAAGCAACTGAACATCTGCTTGTTGTTTTCTTTTATTTCATAATGGATTGTACTTGAACACGAGAAAACAAGAGAAAAAGAAAATGCAGGTCATCCAATTCATGAATGATGAGATCGAATCTGTCTGTGGACTGAAACTGGTTGAGGGGAAATGAATGTGGAAAATGACTTTGTCTTGAAGGTGGGACAAGAGTATGATAACATGCAGATGGGAAATGATCAGATCAGACATCATCATGCATGCATGGGAAGATAAAAATAACCATAAATGATCTAAATAATTGGTTGGAAAATGTGTCATTCATGTTGCAAGTCAAAAAATAAATAAATAAATTGTCATTTCAGGCCCATATTTTCCTTTGAAATTTCCCAAACCCTTTATTTATTTTTGTTTGGTTGTCGTTTGTAGGAGAGCAAAACTCGACTCGATCCAATTTGACTCGAAAAAATTTCAAGTTCAAATCGAGTTGTAAAATGCAACTCGAATAACTCGAACTTTTTAGTAATTAGTGGATTTATTTTCAAGTTTAAGTCGAGTCATTGGACTTTGTATGATATATGTATATCACATATGAAAAAAATATGAAGAAATATATTTGTATTCTATATATAGTTATAGAAAGTTACTTAAATTAGAATCAAATAATATTATAACATTATCAATTTTTACAATTAAATTTAAACAGAAGCTCAAAAAATCGACTCGAGAAAATTTCAATTCAACTTCGAGTTGTAAAATAGGACTTGTCAACTCAAATAACTCAAAATTTTTTGACTCGATCGAACACTCACCCAGGGATGGGCTGGGGGGCGGGTGGGGGCAGTCGCCCCCTGAAAATTCAAAATTACCATATATTTTAAATTTTTCTATGTATTTTCTATTGAAAACTTATTTCACCCCCTAGAATTTTAGTTCGTCCCCAACATAAAATCTTACGTATGTCCCTCCGCTCACCCCTAGACGTTTGCATTATTCATGCAAAGTTGACAGTCACGTTTGCC